CGCTGCCGCCGCCGCCGCCGCCGCCGCCCGCCCACAGAGGCGCTGCGCTCTGAGCGTGCGCACTCGGGGACGCAGGCCGCACGCTGGCACGGAACTCGACGAACTGCCACCTAGATGGAACCGCGAGGTGCACCATGGGAGTGGGCGGGGCCAGGGCCCGCGACCGGCGGCTTCCTTTAAAAAGCAGGCGAATCCCCGCCCCCGGAAGGACTCCGTTCCCCGGGGAAGACCCCGTCTCAGTCCTCGGGCGGTGGTGGTGCACGCCTTAAATCCCAGCACTCGGGAGGCAGAGCCCCGCGGATCTCTGGGAGTTCGAGGCCAGCCTGGGCTACAGAGCGAGTTCCAGAACAGGTGCAAAGCTACATAGAGAAACCCTGTCTCGAAAAACCAAAAAAAAAAAGAAAAGAGTTCCATCATGGACTTGGAGGTAATAACTCAGTGGTAGAACATTGCCTCAAATGCAAGAAGCCAAAAAGAAAAAAAAAAATATGGATTCTACTGAGGCAATTAACAAATGCAGGGACTGGAGTGGGACACAGGAAGATCCAGAGTTCAAGGTCAGCCTCGTCTATGCAACCAGTTCGAAGACAGCCTGGGCTCCCAAAAACCTTCCTTAAAAAAAGAAAAAAGCAACCAGAAGAAAGCCGGTTTCCACTTGACTCTGGAAGGTTGAATATTGAGTTGAGTGTCCTGAGGGGTCAGATTGTTTTAAAACTTGGGCTAGGGCATGGACACAAACCCAGTAGCCCGGTGTGGTGGCTGGCGCACACCTTTAAATCCCAGCACTTGGTAGACAGAGACAGGCAGATCTCCAGAGTTTGAGGCCAGAGCGAGTTCCAGGACAGACAGGACTACACAGAAAGACCCTGTCTCGAGAGTGGGGGAGGGGGGGAAGCTTCCAGATTGCAAATAGTGGAAACTAGAAGAGACACCATTAGAAACTGTCTAGGAAGGGTTAGAGAGATGACCCAATGGTTAAGAGCTGGTTGCTCTTGTGGAGAACCCAGATTCAATTCCCAGCATCTGCATGGCCCCTCACAACTGTAGCTCCAGTTCAAGGGTATCTGATGCCCTTATCTGGCCTCTGTGTGCACTGCAAGAATGTGGTGAGCATACAAAAATGCAAGCAAAGACATTTATATACATGGCATAAAAATTATATATATACATATATATAAATAAAGAAAAAAGAAACTGTCTATGAAAACTTGCTGCATGGCCTCACAATGAGGCTTGTAGATATATGGGTAGGTTTTTAAGCAATGTTTCCTTCATGTTCCTACTAGTAAAAGGATTGATGTAGAAGAAACCCAAAATAATAGAATTGATGTTATTTATTTACCAATGGATTTGCTTAGGAGACTTTAAACCACACAAAGTAGAATTTAGCTAAGAAAATGCTGCCTCCAAAATACCCCAAAGATAAATAGAATGCTAACCAGGCCTGTTAGAGATAAAGTTTATGATGCTATGATATCAGTGTTTGTTCACCAGGATTGACCAGCCATTAGGCCCACCCCCATATCAAAGAACATGTCTCAAACAGGCAGCTCGAGGGGCCAGCCCAACACAGGGTCACGAGCAGCCTTGAGTCCTGGTCTGCAATAAAGCCCCCAATTCTTTTCATGAGAAAAGCATAATTCTGCCAGGTGGGCAAAATGACCCCAGGTAACACTATTTGGAAAAGTACAACACTGGTGTGTATAAACGTAAAATAATTCTGGCAATAGCTTTGCTGTTTAAATCCCCTATCTGCCTAAGTAGCCAGATTTGCAGGCTCCCGACTCTGTTTCAATTGTTCTAAGTGCAAGCTGGGCCTGAGATCTAAAAGAGATTTAAGGATGACCTCATATGCAGAGTACATAGCCTAACGTGGGTCTGAGGTATCAAGGTCTATTCAAGACTGGCTCTTCTTTGGGCATTAGCCAGAGCCAGGTGTGCAGCATTAAAGAGCCTGTTCCTTTATTATCCTCCAGGTATGCCGAACGTCTTTTTCACTGGGAAGGCTTATTATTCTAAAACAGATTCAAGCAGACATTTGTTGCTTTTTGTGGTAGCTGTAGGAACTAAATATTTCTTGAAGACCCAGAGTAATGATAAGCATCACTAAAGAGATCACCCAGAATTATCTTGTGAGTCCTCTGGTGTAAAAATAAGATTTCCTCACTGGAGCCTACTTGTCTGTATGTTTGTCCCTGAAAGAATGCTAAAATAATTAATGAAGTAAGGTAAAACATTTACAGAAATGAGCCGGGCGGTGGTGGCGCACGCCTTTAATCCCAGCACTTGGGAGGCAGAGGCAGGCCGATCTCTGTGAGTTCAAGGCCAGCCTAGGCTACAAAGCGAGTTCCAGGAAAGGCACAAAGCTACACAGAGAAACCCTGTCTCAAAAAACCAAAAAAAAAAAAAAAAAAATTTACAGAAATGAAAGAGAGCTGGCGCCCATAGGCCCAGCTGTTTGAACACTTGGTTCCTGGTCCGTGACATGGTTTGGGGAGGTGGTGCAGCCTTGCAGGAGGAGGAAGGCCATTGCGGGGGACAGGCTCTGAGAGTTCATAGCCTCACTCTACCTCCAGATTGCTCTCCATGTGTTGTGCTTGTGGTTAAATCTGTGACCTCTCAGCTTCTTGTTCCTGCTGGCATGCCTCCCCACCGAGGCAAATACCTTACTCCCTCCTCGATAATAGCGACCAATGAGAACGGAACAGGTTTGTTTTTTAAAGCAGTTTGTCATTGTTGTTTTGAGGCAGTCTCACTGTGTATTCGTGTCTGTCCTTGTGTCCCCGGGCCCCCCCCCCCGCCTCCTTCTGTGAGTCTGCTTCTCTATCAAGTAAAACATTGCAGCCAGTCCCACTGGGTCCTCTGGATGCCGAAGACAGTTGTTTGGCTTGAACTGTTTGGGGGGCACCCAGCCAGGGGGATCAGGATCTATCCCTGGTCTATGGGCAGGCTTCTGGAACCCGGCGCCTGTGGTGTGACACCTTGCACAGCCTTGGTGCAGTGAGAAGGGGCTTGGACCTGCCTAGGCTCAGTGTACTGGGCTCTGCTGACTCCCCCATGGGAGACCTTGATTTGGGGGATGTAGGGATGTGAGGTGGCTTGGGAAAGAGGGCTGGGGGGTGGGAGGGGGAAAGAGGTCTGTGGGTGGTATGTGGAGTGAGTAGAAAATTTCTTAATAAAGATAAATGAAAAAAATTGTAGCCAAGCAATTGTTAACACATACCTTTAAACCTAGCAGTCCGGAGGCAGAGCCAGGTGCATCTCTGAGTTTGAGGCCAGCCTGGTCTACAACAGAGAAACACTGTCTCAATATATACATATGTATATTATAAGTTTGGAGGCTTTAGAAATGACTCAGCAGTTAAGAACACCAACTGCTTTTTCAAGAAGACCCAGGTTCAATTCCCAGTCCAAAGGGAGCTGATGCCCTCTCTGTTTTTCATGGGTACTGGGTACACACATGGTGCACATATATGCATGCAGTCAAAACACTCATACACATCAAATTTAAAAAATAAAGAATTACAGGATGGAGACATTTGTGGTCCACCCCATATAAGATTTATTGCAGCAAAGGTAGTCCATGAGCAGAATAGCACACAGAGCCAAAGTAGCCTGTGTGGTGATACTTTATTTGTACTGAAATGCGATATTTTACTTGTATGTTAATAGTTTCCCTGAAAAAAAAATATAATTTTATATCAAAATTTATAAGATTAATATATATATTTTAAATTTTTAATATATTAATGGTCATATAGAGTAATAACTAATTCTAGAAAAAAGGCTTCAATTAGCTGCCTATACATGTTTTTGTGTTTGAGTATCTTATCAGTTTTCTGCAGGAAATCACAACCAGGCCTAACATCGAATTTGAAGTCTCCAGAAAGATGATGGGGCCCCACAACAATAATTCCACATGGACAATATATAATAATACACTAAGCTGACAAACATCACCCACAGATCAGCTTTGGACTACAAAGTGCTCAGAACAATTTTGAGATGGCTAGCTGAGATGATCCAGTTTCACAGACTACTTAAACAAGGACTTGAGATAAGCCTTGAACTTTGGCATCATGCAGAGATGGGACAACAAATGATATAGCTACCTTCCCTAGAACTTGACAATTAACCCAAAATTTTTCTTTTCAGAATCCCCTAAAGATGTCTTCGCCCACAACCAGCAGGAAGCAATTTTAAGCACTCGACACCCACATTCCCAAAGAGGTGGTGTGGGGCTGGTGGTTTTTGGTCTTTCAATCGGTTTTGGGTTTGGGATAATTTTTATTGTTTAGGAGGGTTGGTTACAAGTTGTTGTTGTTAATGGTTAGGAAAAGGGCTAAGCAAAGGAGATTAGATTTAAGATTAGATTTTAAAAAGATATATAGAAATGATAGAATAGAGGGTAGTTTATTGAGTCTACACTGAAAAGTAAAGAGAGGATATAGATACAATATAGATTTTTTAAAAAGGTAAATTATTGAATCTACTTTTAAAAGACAATTATTAGTTATAAATACTTTACATTGGATTGGATTTTTATATATTATATACAAATTATATATATTGAGATTGTTAGAAAATGCTGTACATATATTTTTAATCTTGTTCAAGATATTGTACTTATACAGTTCATTTAACAGTGTAATGCAATTTGCTAATCCTTGAAAGCTATTATTACAAACTATTAGGATATAAAGAAATGAAAGTAGTTAGACATTACAATTGAACTTGTAGTCATATTAGGTATGTTTTCAAGGCTAAGCAGAGATATATTT